TTCGTAAGCGTAAATTAAACTACTTAGGAATTAGGCGTGTTTCAACGGTTCCCAATCTTAGTAAAGCCAAGCATTATGCATATTTACGAGCATACTGCCAGGCACAATAAGTCTAACATCTTTGAGCATATAATGTTTCACGCTCAACTAAAACCAAAAACTAAAGATCTCCAGATTTATTACAATATGCAGGTCACAATATAAAAAAGGGGCCGACAGACCACATTCAAGAAATAATTTTCGAATCAAAAATGTAAAAGTTTGTGAAGAAAAATACAAGTTTATAATCCGATGTCATCATGTCATGTCTGTGTAAGATTATTACAGTGTTTATGTACACATAAATGATCATAATCTTTCCGCTAGGATATGAAAATTTATTCTCAAGACTGCAATCATTTAACTGCTTACGCTCTCCGGATACTATTTTCATAAAATTTAATCAATTTGCATATATTTTTTAGCTAGATTTAATTAGATTATCAGGTTACTAAAAGCGCGCAAACGGTAAAATGTTACGCAACTTGAACGAATAACAGGTTGACTGACTGCGAACACTTTGCAACACCACACCAAATGGCAATAAACAACAAGAAAAGAACGCACGGCGTCTGTGAGAGCGACGTGGGAATTTATGGAGCGAGCTGATATCTGCCGTTGGGAAAACGAGAGCTGATATTAAATAACATACATACGTGTACATACATACGTTTGTATGCGTAAAAGTGTTGGCCATACAAATAAAGCTAAATGAAAATTTACATATTTATGTGCACAAGCTCATACAGCGGATAGCTGCCGGGCGAATTAAGGTGTTACATATGCGCAACACGTACATACAAACACACGTATTTACAGCCAGGCCTATATATTGTACATACATATGTATGTGGAAGTGTGATTGCGAGCCTGTGTGGCTAAGTGGCTGCCGGTTGACTGCCGGTTAGCTGCCACTTTGTAATAGTTCCGAGTGGTAATTTTAATGAGGCGAACGAACAAACAACTTGAAATTAGTAAATTAAAATTCCCGTACGTGCATAGAGTACCTATTATATGCATATGTACATGAACATATGCTGAAAAAAAACAAACAAAAATAGCTTGCACCTTTGACAAATTTTTTCTTTCATTAAGCAGTAAAACCACTGTAGGATTTTGGAAAACGCAATTTTTTTTTTGCACACAGGGTATCTTTGGGTCCTAGAAATAATATGCAATTGAAGTTCAATGAAAACTTTAAAGGAGTTTGTTCTCAAAATCACACTTTCCAAACTGGGAGGACAGATTATTCGGACCCTATTGACCCTATTACAGTGCGTATTATTTAGTCGAAAATCAATCTTTTTTTAAAAAAAAAGTGTGCCGCTTTCACAAGAAATTGTTTAAAAAAAATCCGTAAACTATAGTTTGTAGATCATAAAACTTTTTGCTTTTCTGTTCTACGTCTCATCCTTTAGAAGAAATCGGCTCTTCCGTGGACGCCTTTAAACAAATTGAATTAAAGAATGGACTTTATAGCCGCCATTTTGTAACAAAATAGTTGAAGAAATTTTTTTTTAATACTTCATTATATGTTCATTGAAATCGTTACATAGAAATTCTATTCCTGTTCCCACATTCCTACAATATATTTTTTAAGCTGAGTTTATTTTTCAACCTCTAGATTGGCTTCACCCCTTAAGTGGGTATCAAATATATGCTCCAAGTGATCCTTTAACCACGGAGATTCTTGCTGAATTGATACACTATGTGCATATGTACATATATATGGTTCCCAAGTTTGTATTTGTGTTTGTATGCTTGGGTTGGCAAGTAGTTTTGTATATTAGAATTTATCTGCGCCTAGAAAACAAGACTTTCGCCAACTCAAATACATGATACATACTTTGAGAGTGACATGGTTCTTCAATAAAGCTCCGATGAAAACAAGCGACTTACTATTCATGCTCTACAGTCACCTACTCAAACATTTTGAAATCTCAACACATTTTTCCACTGAAAAACTTTTCAAATAAATTCAAAATTGATATTTTTTAGGTTATGAAAATACAAAAATAAAAAAAGGTGAGCCATTTAGCGTTTGCTTTTCTAACTACCGCTTTTTTGAACTTTGACAACTTCACTGACGCTTTATAAAAATTGGGAAATATACAAGACTTACTACCAAAATGACGAGTCTTCAAAGGCAAGTGCTAAGAAATTTATGTACAGAATTCGGTTGGATCAATTTGTGCAGCGATCTCGCCCAACCAACAACTCGCTTACGCTTGCGTCCAGTGCGTTCTGAGGAAAATCTTGCTGCTGTTGTCCAAAGTGTGCTCGAACAGCCTTCGATATCCAATCGACACCGTTCCCAAAAATACAATATTTCGTGAGTTTCTTTGCGGAAGATTTTACACAAAGAGCTCGGTACGACGGTTTATAGAGTTCAATTGCTCCGGGAACCGAAATCTTCTGAAAGGATTTCGTTTTGCTTGACAAATGATGAATATTCCTACCGAGAGATCATCTGTGCTAACAAATAAAACTTGTTGTTTGCTACGGCATGTGGACCGGCGGCAGCTTCGATCGGCTTTTTTTCGGCGGAGAAACTACCATTACCGTCAATGATCGCTACCGTCGCATACTCAGTGACTACTTGTGTGCAAATAATGAAGAGAATGTCAAGGACGTTTGCCAACGTTTCAATAGACTTTTTGTGACATCACATAATTAGACGAATCAGAATTAGACGATGTGAATTGGTCATTTGTTAGTTGAGATTGCACTTCATTGAGCTATTTTTTGAAGAGAGCCCTTAAGATTAAATCCAGCGCCAACCATTCAGAAAATTAACTGAGAAATTGGATCGACAGACAGAACAAAGTGGGCTACTGGTAGGCCAGCTACAGCAGTCATATGAATAAAGTGCAGTTTCATCAGAAGGTTGAGGCATTCTATACAGGCAAAATAATGGAAAGTTCTTCGTAGAAACTTTAGCCCAAGTGTCGGGTCGCCTTCTAAATACCATTGCTTTCAACTTAACCTCAAATGTTGAAATTAAACTTCAACGCTTATTGGGTATACGTTTATGTATATATGTATGTACGAAAGTTCTCATAGACGACCAAGTGCAAAAATAAAGCTGTAAGGAGTTCATTGTCCGTTGGCGCTTGTCGCAAGCTTTGAGATTTTCGTTTTTTTTTTTTTGTATTTAAAGATTTCATGCAGACGCGCAGATTGTTTGTCGGACTAACTGGTGGCTGGTGGGTTGATTGAATTCACGTAATTATAGCGTAAACGGAGCAGACCATTCGTATATACATATATACATAATGCTTACATATGTATGTACATTTAGTATGCTCATATGTGGAGCAATAGCAACCATGGAAATTGGCGATCGAGATTTTCATACATAAAGTATACATACATATGTATAAATATACATATATACATATGTATATATGCACCACATAAGTTACGTTGCCGGCAAAGTAAGAACGGATGAGTACAGCAGCGTGACTGTTATTTTCGTCACAGTTGTTGCCGCCGCCAATCTTACAAGGCACAATGCTGATAGATCTAAGTATTTATATATGTACATACATATATATGTACATATGTTAATAAATATGTTATTCAATATGTTTATGCATTTATTCTGAAGCTTTATTGTTATTGTTGAGGCCATTGCCACTTTTGGGCGTGCCCAATTACCGTTAATTTTCTCTCTTATTATGTTTTATATGTATTTTGCTGTTGTTTAAAACAAATCAAAAACAAAACAAAAAATGTTTTACGAAAAAAATACAACAACAAAAAACTGCCAAGAATAGAACTACATTTCATTCATAAAATTGATAGCCAAAGTATTCAAAAATATCCACACGAACAAGTGTCTGGCGTGTGGACGTAGATCTGAAAGACGGTGAACAAGTGTAGTATGTAGGCATATATACATATGTACATACATACATATATAGATATGTAGCATACGAGCTCTTCTCACTGCCGATACAGCCGCCATCTAAATATACTTATTATTGAAATTAATTTTCAATAATCGGTGGTAATGGAGATGAAGGTTCGTTTGAGGCTGCGAGTTGAACCAGTAATATTTTCAAAGATAAATTTTAAATTTTCAGTCTCTTCATAGAATTTTGATGCTAATTCCCTTGCTGCTGAATATATGTAAAAGAAATAAATACCCTGATAAAAGTAATAATTGCACTCAAAATCACACACAGACGCTGTTGATGCTTTTTAAGAATTGAACTAAAGAGACTGTTAGTCTTTTTATTGTTATTTTTAGAACTAGTGAATGTTTTTAAAAATTTAATTGAATTTCATAAAAAAAATTAAGAAAAATAAAATAAGTGAAAAAAGTTTAAAAAATTAAACTAAATAATAAAAAAAAATAAAACAAAATTAAATCAAATAAAATGAGGTAAATAAAATTAAAATTAAGATAAATAAAAACAAATATAATTTAAAATAAAATAATTTAAAAAAATTATATTCAATAAATGAAATAAAATAAAATAAAGCAAACCAAATTAAAAAAATAAAATAAAGTGAGATAAAAAAACTAAAATGAAATAAAACAAAACCAGATTAAAAATTATAAAAAAATGAGATAAAGGAAAACAAAGTAAAATAAATTAAAATGAGATAAATAAAATGAAAATAAATAATATATAAAATAATAAAATAAAGTATGCTGAAATAAATACTGTTTGGGGATTACTTAGACTTTTACAGTGATATACATATATACATGCTCGTATATGTTCCGATATCTCTTTCTGAGACAAACAATTTTTATGAAAGTAAATAATCATGAACGCAAATAATATAATACAATATAATAATGCTGCAAGTTGCCAAAACGAAATATTTAAATGAGAAACTCGCTGCAAATACGAATGCGAATTTATTTTTGTATTTTTTTTTGTATTTTAAATAAAAATATAATGTACTTTCGTTATTAATTAATTGTTTAATTTCTTAATTTTTAGATATTTCTTTGTATGGCGTTACATGATGGACTACTCGTGAAAGCGCAACAACAACGCGAACCTCGCTTGGGCTCCAAATGTCAACATGATATGGACTGTACGGATTTCATTAAGGGCAGCGCCTGTTCGGCGAACGGTTTTTGCGAGTGTGCGCCCTATTTTGTACAATATAATGGCACAAGCTGTTTGTCGTGTAAGTAAATTAATATATGTAGGTATTTATACAAAATGTTGGTCTTAAGTTCACAAAAGGGGCTTAATGGTTCAGTGTTTTTGGCGTTTTGAAAACATGTGGATTAATTTGTTAATTTTATACCAAATAAATGTTAATAATAATTCAATTGAAATAATACAGGTGTGCTGATTCTTACATACATAAATCTTTTTTCTTCAATTAAGACTTGGTTGGATGGACTCTCGTCGTTGAAAGTTTCCCGTAAATGGGATTTTTTGGATGTATTTATCATTATAAATTGATATAATTGAAATTAACGAATTTAATTCATCTGATATCTCTAAAAGAGAGTAGAAACCAAAAAGTAGAGAGTTTAGAATTGAGACATGGAAGAAATACAAAGCGGTAACAAGACCGATGTTATTCTACAAAATCACTCACTGTCTCGTAGATGAAACTAGACGGAAAAACTTACAGCAGCAAGATGTACAAAGTTCGGCAAATGAACTCTATACACATTATAACTCCTACGAAATCTATTCAAATTCTATTTGTCTTGTCCCGTCAGACACCCATGGAGGATTCCGCATTGAGGTGGATTAGAACTCTTCTCTTTTCCGTTTTGGTATCACATTCTAAACAAAAAGTTATGGCAAATGGAACAGTTTTGGATCAAAGGTTCGTAGAGATCTTCACCGATATCTCAAAAATCGACGACTGTGTCCAGAGTGTAGTTCATTTCGAGCCACTCGCAATTGATATGAACAAGAAATCTTCCGAACCCTGCAATGTATTTGAATCTAAACAAGCGCCCAAACTGGAAGGTGGTTCGTAGTTAGTCTACTCTGCAATAGTTACTCAAACTATTACGATAGATTATGACAGCTAAGGTGACATTAAGACTCTTCAATGCAATTACACCAACTCAGAGGTGGCCATATTATGCAGACAAGTTGACACACTCGCTACTGTAAGCGAAACGTGCGTGCTAGTTAGCTTCCGACAAGCTAGCAAGAATAATCTCACCGTGGAACTATGTACACGATGTGGGTATACCACTTTCCTCGACAAAACACCACTTAAGATCGGCCTTCACCAGTCTGGCCAATAGCAGGTGGTAGGAGTGATGTGCTTCTGGCTGTTTATCGAAGAGAACTAAGAACTAAGTCTCTACTCCTTTTAAACAGAGCTTCCACAAGCCGCAAGTAAAAACTGAACATTGTCTGATTGGAAGTCATGGTTGAAGGACGGAAAACTTCGCTAATCACTTCTGTGGTAGCTGCGTGAGCATGGACGAGTAGAAGTCGGCAGGGTATACTGCCTCTACCGCTGCTCGGCCCTCATTGCGGCCTAACGTATTTTCCTCCTCCCAATGTTTATTTCGACTGCTTTGCAGAACTTGCTTCGGAAGGTGTGGAAAATTTCGTGGGTTTCATAAAACACGCCAAATAGTTTGAACAACGAGGAAAGTGAGAGGAATCTCTTATCATTATTGAATTCTTTAAGCGAACGTAGCGAGCCTCATCATTATAGTGACAAAGCCATGATAAATCGTACAGATAAGCCCAAACCTAGAAGATTCAAACACGCGAACATTTCTTACAATTTATTACTTATTTTTACATATGTTTTGATAAGAAACTCCTCATTTAGTGTCTTTATTAAAATCTACAAGAGAGATGAGCTGGTAGCTGCATTCGTGACGGATTTATGACCCAAAATGATATATGCTGAAGTGGTCCGAAATGAACCCGCTGCTGCGCATCAAGTTGGGGAACTAGCTTGCGTACATATAGACGGACACGAAAGTTAATATATATACCATTTCATGTACATGAAAGGCATAAATATATGCACCCTTAGGTCTCTACTAGTGTGAAATGAACAATAAAAGGCAGCATAACCTTAAAGTTGAAAAGAACACAATGTTTCTATAAATACTTGGCGTTACAATGTCGTATTTACATAAGACATACAAGTGGCCAGCAACACTTAACCTCTAATGCCATCGAGGAAATCAGTCAAACAGTCAATCATAGCGTAGCACATACATACATTAAGGCACGTACAAAAATATGTGGTACATATGTACATACTTATCTATATAAACAAACACTTTAATTTCAAATACCAATCAAGTTCATTCGAATAATGGCAATAGCAATCTCAGTGTAACTCACTCTTTTCGGCCATGCCACTAGCAGCATGTTGCTTGTACTTGTACATACATATGTATGCACGTATTTATGTGTGTGTAATACCTTTACAGCTGACATCAAAAAGCCAATCAGGCATCAAATATTACAGACATACATACATACATACATACATACATACATTTGTATACACACACAGTAATGCGTGTATGTCCAAAAACGATGCTAGTCGATGTTGCACGCACCAGCCATGGTCTGTTGCTAGGTCCAATGCTGCAACAACGATTTATTTCCGATATCAGTGAGAAGTCAACGTAAATCATACAACAGCTATGCACAACTATATTTACACAAATGTATGTATGTATGTGTGAGCAAGTGTTTGTCTCCGTATATGCAATTTCACTGCAATTTTTCCCATTCAAATAATATATATATGTATTTATGTACATATATAAGTATCAACATTGCATGTAATGTACACATGGCGTGTGTCCTCAATTTTCATGCAACAATGTGAAAATGTTGCTGCAACATCGCTCACATTTAACATTTGCTAATGTATGTACGTAGTACGTACATACGTGTATATACATGTATTTGCTGTTGTCGATCGTTGCAATTGTCGTCAGTGCATTGTGCGATGTGCGATTATTGTGTGTGTTGTGCAGTTAATGTTTGTTGTCTCTTTGTCGATGCATTCCTGATCTGCTGACATTCGAGTGGTTTTATTTCTGTTATATTGTATTGTTGTTACTGTCGTTGCCGTTGTTGTTGTTGTTGTTGTTGTTGTTGTTGTTGTTGTTGTCCGAATGCTAGAAAAGGCGTATTTTGTTTACTTGTACATGGCTATTTGACCTGCTTTGAGCCGCTACAGCAGCTGCGATAAATGATGATTGTCAGCGAGCCTAGTGATCGGCTCGGATTGATTATCTGCGTGATATTAATGATGCCACCTAGCTGGAAACTGACATGGATGGCTATTGGATAATGAGAAATACTTGGTTGGTTGGTTAGTTTGAGTTTGGATATCGCAGAAATCGCGCAATTTCTCAATTTATTTAGACGCAAAGTTGACTTTGAAAGGAGAATGGAATTTTGCGTTCGCGTTTGCGTTTGTGTCTCTGATGAAAGCATTCATTTTTGATAACTTCAGAGATATTAGCAATCACTCGGCGCCACCGTAAGTATAGAAGTATGTGCCATTATACAAAGAGTCATGTATTCGAATGATGAGAGCATGCGTCAATCGCTACCAGAAAAGCTCGGGAACGGATACGCTTGACTATTGTGGCCGTCATTATAGCCGAGTCAAGATTAGCGCCAGTCATTTCCTCTCTTCGCAAGTTGGGAACACCAACTTATTCCTGGTGCTTTTCAAACCGATCTTTCCAACTAAGAAGAGGGGCTCCTCTTCTCCCACCCGCACCTAAAACTTTGAAAGCTGAAGTTTCTCCCGCCATTCGGATGTCATGAGCTTATAAATCATGCAGCTCATGGTTGCATCGTCTGCGGCAATAGCGGTTGCCAATGCCCAAAAGTTCATTTAATCGATTGTTCCGCAAAAGATTTCTCTCGCAAGCTTCTGCATCATATAACAGAACGGGAATAACTGTTATCCCAAAGCGTTGAGCGTTAAAAAACTGTCCAAAATCCTCATGATCGTACAATTTGTATGGGACATCCGTCAATAACGCGGCGCCAACGTAGAGCAAATGGAATTGAGTGGAATGGAGTGAAGAGAAAGATGCTAAAGAAAGGACAAAAAACTGACGAAGAGGATTAGGCAAATGTGAGAAAAATTTTACAAATAAATCTTATTTTGCAAATGAATTGAAAAATGTTTACTTACAAATGAATTCGCCTTGTGGAGGCACACTCTTGCCGATCGATTAAGTTCGCAGTATCTTGTTTGAAATAAACGCAATTAACTTAGTAGAAAGAGAAAACAACAAAAAGCTAGCGCTCTTATTTTCAAATTCTGATACCTAGATGAAAGATATTAAATTTATGACTGTCAAAAGCAACAGTGACAAGTGAGCAGAGTCGCAAATGAGCTGGCTGTGTCATTCATAATAGGAGATATTTGCTTTTGTCTTCGTTCACTGTGAGACCTATTCGCTTCGCTTTCTTATCCTTACTCTTACCGAAGATTGTGGCTCCACTGATTAGCTCTACAGCTTTTAGATTGTTAATATTATTATAATCACCGGTAATAAGTTAAGTAAGTCATATGATAAAAATACCTTCTGTCTGGTCCCGAACGGATCGGCTAGCTTTTATATATCAAGACAACCTTAAATGTCTAACTTTTTGAACTTTTCTGGACACATAATGCCATTTCTACTAATTTATATTAATATTAATATGAAATTTTAGTACAGAAAAAAAAAATCAAAAAAAAAACTTAAACAGAATTCTCAAACAACTAAGTTCTTCTTTAGACCCAAACTATATTTTATAATTTTGTATTTTTTATAGGTTTTCCGAACCATTAATACTCGTACATATTTCCACACTACTGTCTGTCGTTGAAACAGTACTCGTGCATCGGCCCTCAAGATTTTGCATTCTTTTCCCTATTTGTCATCGGTATGTTTATATGTAAATATTTACATGACTTTCTCACTGACCGAGACTTTCTCGCTGCATAGCGACACCGTTTCTCTACTCGTACACTCGTACACCTGTCAACGATACACATATATACATGCATACGTTCATAGTATGTTGCGTGCAGCATGCAACATGGAACAAATACTTGTATACAGCCTCATTTAGCGGTGAGCTTGGCTGACACACCTTTGTATGCATTACCAAATTTTCTATTTGCATTCGAAATGTATTTTCCAACAATACACAAATAACTGTAGATATGTACATATGTATGTTTATCCACATACATATATTGGAAATGCATTCTTAGTACTCAATATTGATATATGCATGTCCTCTCCCCTTGTACTCGAAGTCATGTTATTCCCCTTAATTGCCTCAACTGTCACAGCATGTCTGCGCTGCATCGCTCTTTTAGCTCTTTTTCTCTGTACTCGCATATACTGTTAACTTTTATTTGTCATTTCTGTGTTATTTACACTTCTAATGCACACCGTTTATTAATTTTCAGTTTCCGCACCTTTTGTTGTGTCTTCTATCTGTATATTTTTTATTCTTCTCTCTTTGCAGCACAACTTCTGGGTGGTGACTGCGTGCTGAATGAACAGTGCACAATGAAGGTGGCCAACAGCAGTTGTTTGGATGGCGCTTGCCGATGTGTTGAAGGCTTCCTGCAGTTCCGCAAACATACCTGTCTTGGACGTAAGTACGCAGAGGAAGCTAAACTTCTCTTATATTGACTTTATATGCACCAATTGAAAATAAGAATACAACTTACTTTGAATTCTTGTAAGAAATTGGAAACGAGTTATTTTGTGATCATTTCTTAATCGAAAAATTTCATACACGTATGCTATGTCTATCTATGTTTAAATTTATAAATTTATGTATGTACGCAAAGAAAAGCGTTTAAAAAGTACATATTCATTCATGTTTCGGAAGATTTGTGGAATAAAAATGAAATGAAATTCGAAAAAGTAAACTCTTCGTTTTGGGTGTGCTGAAATAGTGGTCATTCGAAGTTACATTTTTTCTTTTAAAGGAAAATTTTCTGAATTTAAAAGAAAAAAGGGCAAAGACTTATACATATGTATGTCATCTCGCCTTCACCTCATTTAGGGTGCAGCTAAAGCTTATAAACTACATTGAGGTCATATAATTGGAGCAAGGAAATTTTCTTTTTCGGGAGATTTTCACTGCAGGGAGATTGGTGTTGGATGAGTTGGTGAAAAGTGGCAAAGATGTGGTGATTTGAAGCGCAGACTTGAAGTACATATAAGGTATACGTTGAGCATGTTAGGCGTCGGACATTATCGTTAATCTCAGTTGTTCCATCAGTGGTTCATAATTGCTTGCTACTGAAGAGCTTTGCCAAACCTTAATGGACATGCATTAAAGACATCATAATAGAGTACCTGTCGTATGCGTATGCTTTACGCTAAAAAATTTTTTAAATATTTAATATACTTATTTGCTTACTTTTTAAAAAATATGTTATTTTAAATCCACAAAACAATGGTTTGAAAACCACGTATTTTTATATGGAACGTGGAATCGGTTCACAGAACATGGCTATTTTGTGCTCGAAAACAAAATGAAGTGGAGATGAAATGTGTAGAATGCAGAGTATTTAAATGGTAAATTGAAGTATTTTCAAACAAGTGTGAATACAAATGGGGCTATAACTGAATTCGATCCGCTTGTTACCGATCTCGGAAGCGGTTATCTATTTCATTGGAAAGGTATCACATCGGTCAACAATAATTAGTATGCATCGGCATCTGGGAGGTTTTCCCCACACGTCTCCAGACCATAGTCCTTCCGACTGCTGGATTTTATTTTGTACCAGTTCGGGTATTTTAAAGAAATCGAAGAATGACTTAAAGATTAGGGCGAGGACAGAAAGGAGTCATATTTTTAGAAATGGTGCTCGAAAACTACCAGTATTTTTATTTAGTATATTTTATTTGAAAAGCCATTGCCCTAAATTTTTCATTTAATTTCTAAGAGCATTAAAATATGAACATGTTAAATTTAATTAGGTAATATGCTTTCCTCGTCTGAGAAATAAATAATTATATAATTGTTTCCGTGATAAGTATTAATCGTTCTCGTTCTAGCTCAATTCCATGTACAGATCTAAAAAAGTTATATTTTTAATGGTATAAGTAATATAATTTAGTAACATTGGGCTCTGGATATAGAATACGGACATTGTTGGGTTCCGCCTCTGATTAAACAGAATAATTCAATTAACGGAAGGCGCCCTATAAGCGCTCAACCAGGTTCTGACGTAGTATTTGCTGATTGCAGCGAAGATGTTTACAATTTTTTTTCTGCCCTCTTTTAATATATGAAAAGCTTTTTAAAATATGTCAGAAATGCAATAAGATTTTAGAAAGTTCCCTACCTATGAGCTTATTACAGTAAACTGTAGGTCCCTCCATTTGTGGGTAAAACATCAAGACGCATACCTCAGCGTTCACAAACCAATAATTATATGTGCTTGTCCTGCTAGTCCTATTTATTAAAATATCGAGTTCAAGTAAAAAAAAATAAAAATATTTCCTTTGCGTCCATCATAAGTGCGAAACTCGAGACTGAAAAATCCACTAATTTAGTTGCGGACATTCAAAACTATTTCCGATATTTCTGTAACAGTAACTCGCATGCTTTTTTTGTATGAATGAATGTACATACGTACTTGCATAAGTGCGATCATAGAGGAGGTTGAGAGACGTGTTGCGTGTTTCACGCATGCGCTTTGAAAGAATTACGGAATGGTATTTGGTGTAGATCGGACTAACCACATAAGTATACGAGTATACGAGCGTACGAAATATACATACATACATGCATCACCTACAGTCAGTTAAATAAAAATATTTCTTTACACTAATTATTTAAATAATAGGTTAATTATAAGAAATTCTAAAGAAATTACTAGAATTTATGTTAAGTGCTTAGACAAATACGAATTCCAAACAATTTTATTTACATCACCGTCACGTTAGTTACAGTAAATAAGGTGCACCTACGTGTATACAAATACCTAATTACACATACATATGCACCTTTTTTTACCGCTAAAGTCAACAAGCGTTTACTCAGTGACTCCTATACATACATATGTAATGTAAGTATTTAAGAGTTAACTGTTTAGTCGATATAGATCACGATTGAAAGTGGCGATTACTCATTCAAATAAACATTTGTACTCGTAAATATGTACATATATATGACATATCGTAAATATCTCAGGCGCATTTAAGCGCCCTCAGGGCGACAAAAAGAGCTCAGAATCACGCGTTTGTAAATTTTAGAAATCAACTGAACAGCAAAGTGTTTGACGTTAACTTGATTGGCATCGTACGCAGGTGGGAAGATTACTGTGTATGCGCATATGTATTTGAAGAGTATTTAATGAATGTTGAGCCATATTTTAATTTATTCTAATTTATCAGCGGTCGTAATAGCCAACTAGTGCACGGCACATACTACCACTCGGTGAAGGCGAAAAAGCAGCCAAAGCGGCTGAATAAATTAATTTAGTTAATGGGCCCGATACTGTAAACGAACGTGTAGCACAAACGTGGTTTGCTAGGTTCCGTTCCGGTAGTTTCGATGTCAAAGATGCACCATGCGTTGGGAGGCCTGTCGTCTAAAAATTGCGATAAAATCATGGAAATAGTGGTCACGTGAGCACTTATTTCATTGCTGAGGAAGTAAAGATAAGCCAGAGAAACGTTTGGAACCTTGGATTCAAAAAAAAGCTCGATGTTTGGGTGAAACACGAACTAACGTAAAAAAAACATATGGAATCACAACAAAATCGGCCCGTTTCTGAAGCGGATTGTGACTGGCGATGAAAAATGGGTCACTTACGACAACATCGAGCGCAAACGGTCGTGGTCAAAGCTCGGGGAAGCGGCCCAGACTGTGCAGACGGTGGCCTAGACGGTGCAGACGGTGGCCAAGACCGGATTGACGGCAAGGATCGACTGATGACTGTATGTGTTTGGATCATCCATTGTAGGTGCACCGTCAAAGAACACAATATTGCGTTCGATAGCCACTGTAAACTCTTAAATTATTGAAGAGGCACCTATTAACTACGCAAAACTAACAGTGTAGGTTAGAATTTGGGCTAATATGGTTACTGAACCGTTATTACGGAGCATTACCGTGCTATGATAACTCGTCTCGGGCTCAAATCCTGGTAACTTACCAGCATCCCAAAAGTTATAGAAAAATAATTTCAATAAAAAATTAAGCTTAGTTTTCTAATTGCGCTCGCCCCTCAGCAGAGAGTGTCAACTGCAAGAAGACAGCAGGTTCTGATATTAGACTTTTGGAGATGCGGTTGTTGGAGCTAAAAACAAGTTGGACATAGCGACAGTGCAACCATCTCAGCAACTTCAAGTAAATCAAGTTACATATATCCTCCTGATGTTAGATTTCAATAGTTTCAATGCAGTGTGGAGGGAGGGTTTATTTCGAAAAACTTCCAAGCGCCAGTATTAGGTACAGAAAATTCTTGCATAGCTTTAATGTATTACTACAGTAGGATACACATGGCAACTACATACTTGGATAGTCAGGCAGCAGTGGTAAATACATTTATTTTTCTTTGCATACTGTAAGAAAAAAGGTTCTACCAAATAAATAGGCCTAGAAGAACTGTTTATAGGTTTATGACCACAATAATGGGTCACTGACCCCTCGAAGAGTATACACATCCTTTAAAGGGGCTACAACATTTTGAATCCACCAAATCGCAATGCCTGTCTAGAGCTCACGGTCCATCGGATGCATCAGAAATATTATGATTACAACAAAATGGTGTACTTAATGCTAATTGGGATCCGAGGCTTAAACTTTTATCGGCTGCCAGTGTCCCCTAAGTAGCCATCTGAGTAAATAATATTGTGTAATTATAAAAACATACATATATATGTAAACTAGTATTTTACTAGTATTATTTTGGAGCATGATAAGAAATTCAAAATATTATGTAAAACTAGTACTTTTTGGCAGCCACAATAGCCGAATGGTTAGCAATCGGATGGCTACTTTTCAACCAACATCCAAAAATATAGAAAATCAATTTTCCTTATTGCTGTCGCTCCATGGTAAGTCCAATTTAAACAAAGGAATTTAACGCAAACTTCAATATCGACTCGCCTCTCTATGGAATTTGTAAAAGTTTGCCATACGTGTAACTCATTTATGGAATATATCTGGCGTTATGAAGCTGTAGAAGACCAATAACCCCAATGAACACACCCTGACTATGTTTGTTGTTGTATTACAGTACATCCAATTGACTATCATTTGACATTAAAAGAGGCTGACCGTAAGCGATACAATTCCAATAAACATACGTTTGCCATAGAGTGCTTACACAGCTTCCACTGCTTCCACACTGCCGTGCGGCCATAGCTGCTGTCACTTGCCGTGGAGAGAAAGTTTATCAAATTAAAAAAGAGAAATGTTTAACTCCAAGAAGCAACATCAAGCACAATTGTATTCGTCATGAGTGGCTTGTACTTGCAATAGAGCGGTAATATACATACATATGTGCATATAAGTAGGTAAGTATTAGCAAAAAAAAACAAAAAAAAAAAAAGCAACAAAAAAAATGACAATGAGGAAAGCACATGTGCATTGCAAAGAAGCCTTGACAAAAGTTATAGATTAAT